AAAAATATTTCAGACACAAATAATGCTTGTGCAGTATATTATTTTAAACTCTGTGACACAGTCTGACCTTTGAAGTTCTAACGAATAGGTATACTGTAGCGTAACATTATTGTTACAAAATATGTACAAAGGAAAGAAGGTGAAATTAAACATGGTTTATGTACCATCTCAACTCATTTTATGTGACATGAGTGTTAAACATTTTTATTTTTATATAATATGTTATATTATATTAAGTATTAACAATTAAATATATTTTGAACTTGTCGATGAGAACAATATTATTTTTTTATAATTATACAGGAGTCGACGATTTCATARGGTTTCTCGACTTACCAATATTAAAAATTTAAAACTTACTAGGTGACAATGGTTGATATGTTTACTTTAATAACAATGACAATAATAATATTTTCACAATAAATGTTGGGTAAATCGCAGCGCTTTCGGGTAACAGCAGCACYGGCAGTACGTATCGAAAAACACGAAGCGCATGCAATCCAACTGACAAAATGTAAACCTTATATCTAATAATAATCTTTTAGTAGGTTTAAATGTATAATATTAAATCGTACCTAATAATCGTTATAATAATATATTAAGTTTTGTGATTTCAGTCTTGTGAATGAAAACGCGTTCGCGCGTGGACCGTAACAATATGACATCATTAGCGATGTATTGCAATAAAATAAATAATATCAATACATCGATAACAACTGCAGTATTGCACCTCTAGTCGTTGGCCGTTGCCGCGTTGGTGGCCACGGTTTGGGCGTCGGACTTGCGGGAAGCGGCCGACGCGACGTCGCTGCCGTGCACCGCGGAACCACTCTGTTGCTGTTGCTCCACTTCCGCCGCCCCGTCGCTCACCGTGTTCGTCAGTTGCTTCCGTATGTCGCGTATGCTCTTCCGGATGGCCTGCGCCAGCTTGGTCGTCGGCTGCGATACCGCGGTGTCCGGAAGAACCGGCGCCGCGACCTCGTTGGCGGACGACGTCTTGTCGCATTCGTCGGGCGGCACCACCGTTATGGCGCAAGTGTCCCTCGCCGACCGGTGGCCACTGTCCATCAGTCGTTGCGGGTCCAACTTGATCGCGTCGTCGTAACTGGGCGGCGGCACGTCCACCACTGACGCGTAATCCGGCGGCTTCTCGTTCAGCCGCACCGGTGGGTCTAGTGATATCACGTGGATGTGGTCGATCGACTCCTGCGGACAGTTGACAAAAAAAAAAAAAACCGTCACTTTTATTATAGGCACTTATACCGACTTACATCTTAGAGTATTATATAATTATTATGTATAGATGACTCATTCGTTAATAATCATTCCCAAACAAGGATATTCATGCAGGCAGTTTTATKGACTTTTTGACTATGATAAATCTCATAACTTATGATTATAGCGTGCCTACTTAAATTTATTATTGGAAATTAATGAATTCCAAAAATTTTATGATGAAGAATATACCTAACAAGTTGCAGGTACCTATATACAGCTAGGTATCTACGGCCATACCTACAAGTTATCGTGTCTACCTTTAGATAGGTACTCATAATTAAAAATTCTATCATTCTCCATGATTAATTTTGTTTAGTTATAAAATACATTCTAAATTTAAATTATTTATTAATTAAAAAAATACAGACCGGTATCTCAATGGATAGGTTAGGTTAATCAATTACTACAATAGTATGGCATTATAAATTATTCCWAAAATATATATCCTAGTTTAAGATATCAATAATGTAATTATAAAATTCATGATATAACAATAATATCTCATTCAGAATATTTATTTATAGTTATTATATCGATCAATTAAATTAACGTATATGAATTTATTGAGATAATTGTAGACATAAACTAAAATCATCGTTGGTTAGGTAATCAAAGTTATTATTTCCCAACACGGATTTGTGGTTACAGGCTTACAGCTGCTGAGCGATGGCATGGTATATGGCCATGAATTCCCGCGATAGATATTTTTTTTTTTTTAGATAAACCAAATATTTATAATATAGTATATTTATTAATTATCATTATGATATTTATTATTTTATACTATATGATTATAATAATATGATACATTAAGATGGGATTGAGAGATGGCAGTAATTGATAAGCTAACCTAGATCCTAATCGAATTAAGAAGTCGGCATTTACAAGAGGATATTACTAGCAAGGTAAAAACTAAAAACAATAGCAAACACTGCAAATTACAATTTACAATAAGAACAGAGTGACGGGATTGAAAAATCCGGTAAATCAAATAGAAATATTTAAATATATATAAAATATATGAAGTAAATTGTAAGATTACAAAGGTTTTCAGTACCTAACACGTTTCCTTAATAATTTGATATACTACCTAATTATTTATACAAATTATATACAAAATAATGGAACAGCGGGGTGCTATTATCATAGATATTCTTAGTCCAGAAGTTTTGATAGCTTAGAAGGTTAGAAACTATTTATTCAATTTTTGATTAGGTTAGATCCATCAACATTTAAAAACAAATTTTCTATTTTACAGTTTGCATAAAAAGGTTGGTTCTCATATGAAAAAAATATTTTATTTACTATACGACTTAAAATTAAAAACGGTACACGAAGAAGCGAAAATACATTACCAACGTTTTCAAAATCGACTATTATCAAACCAAAACCCACTAATAAAAATCTYGCTACACCCTCCATTCCCTGGTCCCCCCACCCCCACAGACGCTTAAAACGCAAATGGTGTCGGGATCTGCAATCCCTCACAAATTAAACCTATTATAAAAATCGAAAAAAAAATAGAGAGAAATAAATAAAAGCAAGCTATGAGTGTCATTAATGGATGATTTCTCTATACATGTTAATACATTACTGTAATTTAAAATTGTACTCAGAACACATTATTATGCCAACAGGTATAGATTGTATATTTTCAAATAAAGAAAAAAATATCACCTTACGATAATTCTTTACAAGTATGAAATTCGAAAAATCAAAGTTTGATTGGCCAAATTCATTAACAAAAAACAAAATGAATGAGAGTAAACAGCTTGACGAATCGTTTTGTTTACTTAACTTGTAAAACTATTTATTTGTAATTTAGAGTAGATATTGTATAATATGTAGGTTCGTATGTATAAAAACCTTCGTATCTTTACTATTTACTTCACGAGGCGTCGCCACTCAAAAGTRTGCACCGTTTCAAAATATTAGTATTAATTAGTATTATTAAACACCGTGAAATAACTCAAAACCTACTAATTTGAATTTCCATTTAGATTTGTAGGTACAACAGAATGCAGAATTTTCTGAAAAATTATCGACCTAAAAATGTACAGTAAAACTGGTGATTTTCATTTGAAAAAAAAAATGAAGCTTGTATAACTATAAGAAACTCCTTAAATAGTTTGAACATTTAATTATTTAAAAATATTCTACCGATATGAAAATTCAAAAAAAAAAAAAAAATCAAATGGAAATAAACAAATATTACTAAATGAAAATAATGCACATGATTATGATTGATGAATCACTCTGCATATCATATAGGTACATATAATAATATTCATAGGCACAGTAAAAAATTAGGCACAGTTAAAAATTCTATAAAAAGGCCACAACATCTGAATCAATACGATATACGAGAATTGAGAGGTACCCGCGGTATCATAAATGAGCTGTGTATGAGTGGAAAACAGACAAATTATTACTACACTCATCAATTATTATAGTAGGTATTAAATACAAAACATTTATTGGATTACATGATTAAGAATTTAAATGAAATTGATTTCTTAAAATTTAAAGCATGCGCCGTCATATTAAAGCGTTTACAACTTGAGCGCAAAGCAGAGAATTACAATTCTAAGTCTAATACGCATTTTTTTTTTTTTTATTACTATTTTGGGTATCTAAATTATTCTACATAGGTAGTGTTTATTTTTAAAAACATTCCGATGAGTTTGGTATAGTTGTCTTTAGAAGAGGTTGTCTCCTTTATATACTTTATATAGTTACTTATAAATTATAATAATATATTATATAAAGAAAGTACTTAGAAGGATATTTTAGAAAATAGAAGAATAGAGAAATACAAAAAATTTACCGAAACCCCGGTTTAAATGCTTACCTCGTGAGTAAACGAATTGAGTTGGCAGGGCATGTATGGAGGTCAAAGGGAACTTAAAGAAAGCTCTGGAAGGAAAGATAAATGGGAAAAGACCTAGAGGTCGCCTTAAGCATCGCTGGACAGACAGGGTCAACGATGATTTCAACAGCAAGTGCACCCATGGAGTGACAATAGCAGACAGCGTTGACAGAGATGGGTGGAGAACGTATTAGAGGCATCGAAAATCCTTCAATGACCGTAAAAGCTCGAGAAGAAGAAGATGTTATATAAAGCCGCATACCTACGTAAGATTAGGTTAGGTTGACGATGAGCGATAATTTATTCAAATTTTGTTGGTATTTACCTACATATATTTATACGAACTAATTGCATCATAAGTTAATTCTTTAATCAAACTCATTTACTCATTTATATTAGACTTTATCGTATACCTAAATATTTAATACCATAACACATTATGTATTTATCTGGTCTACCTGTGTGTTTGAATATTTGAAAAAGTAAATTTAAATGTGTAAAGAATTAACTAATACATATTATATTGGACAGGAATTAAAATCAGTACATGATTGACATTAATACAGTATTATAGACGTATCACGTATGACGTATCTATCATAATTTGAAATTATTTTCGTATGTGATAGTGCAAAATGTAATTTGATTTTGATTTTTGAGCTTATAATCTGCTTTTTCTCTATTTTAAAACTTTTTTAATAAAAAAATATACAATAATAATATATAATTACAATTTTAATTCATATTTATTTTTAATTATCATATTCGTATACGTAAAACAAATGTTATTCTTTAAACTATTTGATATTTTTCTTGACTGAAATAAAATAATCTTATTTTCATTGTTTTTATTTTATGTATAATTATGTATTTTTCCGTAAAATTTTTAAAGTGTATAAAAATATTTAAAATAGTGATAATGCTGTAATTTACATTGTAAAATATAAATTACAAATTATATATTATATTATCTCAGTCCGTGATTGAACCGAAAAGCGTTTATCGTTTTATTTTATTTTTTTTTTATATATCTAGAAAGCCATAATTATAAACATAGCAAACTTATGAAAAGATGATGCATTGAACATAACTTTACATAGGTACATATTAATTATTATACTAAATTATTGACGTCACTATATATGCCTAGCTGTAAGAAATTTAACTTAGCAATTATTGCAACTTTCGTTTATAATAATTTTAATTATTATTAATGCTGACTGTTTTTCAAAAGAAATATCAAATCTGAAGCGATTCTGAGCAGTATACCACTACAAGGTTTATCTAAATATATTGTTTTAATAACGCAATGATAATTTATTTCTCATTGTTTTATCATCATTATATTATTATTATTAATAATACGTAATGGAACAGGCAACAGCACGTCAATACGCGTCATACAAAAAATTAAAGCTGTTTTTGCTACAGCCACACTATACACRTTTAAGTAGACACAAACACAATGATATTTATACTCATGAGTAAAAAATTTATTTTATGACATAACATTGCTATGATAGGTTAGATATGTACAAACTACTGTTTTCAAGATCATTTCGATGAACTTGAAAGATGCAAAAATATACAATAATAATGAAGATATTTAGTTATCGTGTCGTGTATTAGTGTTCAGAATTGTTTTTTTTTTTGATAAAATATCGTCTGCAAAGCACTAATGTCATTAAACATTTATGGCAGTCAATTATTATTAGATAAATCGTTACGTTACATACATTTGTCGCGACGAAAAATCGTAGTTTAATGTGCTCTATTTTTATATTTGTTAAAAATTTACGTAATTTTTCGAACTGCCACATATTTTATGAGTGGGAGTACCTAGTACCCACACCGGCTACACCATGCCAATAATTTACGTTTATGAGTTTATAACAATAATATAATAGGTAGGTAACATAGGTACCTATTTGATATTTCAATTCACGAGTGTAAAATATAATTGACTCGTTGGCGAACCTAACCTTTAATTTATATTTGTAAGTTTCAGAACACTTTGACGTGTTGATCTCTACGGAAGTCGAAAATAGTAATTGAACGA